CTGGGCCTTACCTGTATTCTTAGGAGCCTGTATTTACACATATGCACACACACACACACACACACACACACACACACACACACACACACACTTTCTGAAGATATCCAGAGCAAGACATCTATCTTCACATCACCAAGGATAGGTGCCCTCCTGCTTATAACCATTGTGTCAGACCCAACTGTAGTGGGCAGTCATTCTAGCTTTGATCTGGAAATTCCAACCCCCATTGAGGCTTCAGTAACTGTCATGCCTACAAAGCAGGGCCGAGAGAGGACCCTGAAGACCAGAGATCCGAATGGGCTGGTTCTCTTGGTTCCTGGACCCTGGACACTGGAGGTAGACCGAGCAGAGTTCTCCAGAGAACACCGCCGAACTGCACTACACCTTTCCCAGACCCTGTAACCTATCCCTTTACTTGTAAGTTACCCCACAAAATAAACCTCCCTTTTAACTATGTGGAGTTGTCTTAATATATATATATATATATATATATTTTTTTTTTTTTTTTTTTTTTTTTTTTTGGTTTTTCGAGACAGGGTTTCTCTGTGTTGCTTTGCGCCTTTCCTGGTACTCGCTTTGGAGACCAGGCTGGCCTCGAACTCACAGAGATCCACCTGGCTCTGCCTCCCGAGTGCTGGGATTAAAGGCGTGCGCCACCACCGCCCGGCGAGTTGTCTTAATATTTTAAACAATACCCAACTGTTGGGATGGACTGAAGGACTTATGATTATCTCCCAGGTGTAGGAGTGTGGGGTGTGGTCATCTCCTCCATGGCTACCTTATCCTTCCATAAAAGTCCATGGATGCTCCGAGCTGATCTGGCACACAGGCAGGGGAAGAGGACCCTCTGTCACCTCCTCAAGCAGCACCAGATTGCCCAGGTATCTACCATTCTTGATGCTGTCCATTCTGACTCGCAATTAGGTCAGATGTCCATTTATGCTGCCTTCACTGGCTGTTGGTGATTCATTATAGGGCTGGTTTCCAGCTACTTCAGTTCCAGAAGCTTCAGCAGGGACCTGCTGACACAATGGCCCATGATCACCTTAAAGTAGGTACAGTCACTTTGGAGTTTGACATGGGAAGGTGCAAATTCTGTCCCCAAAATGTGAGTCAAGACTCTGGGGCTGACATGCCATTAAGGGAAGACACAGGGCTACCAGGGAAGAAAACCCAGCAGGGCTGTGAGCAGATTGTTTCCAATTTATCCCAGATAAAAAGGTGTGCTATACATCCTGCCCTAGAGACAGCCAGTGAACCACTGCCCAGCTGTGCAGGGACTTGGTCTCTGGATAAGAAAGCCCAAAACAGGCAGCCACTGTCATGTGCTTCTGAGAGGAGCATGACTCACAGATATCTTTCCCCTTTTGCAGAAGCAGCCAATGGAGCATTCCAAAGCCAGGCTGTTCAGGGCAGCTACAGGGTGGTGTCTAAAACCTCTGTGTCTGAGATTGGTAGATTAGTAAAACAACTGAAGGCTCTTTGGGGCAGTGGTGAAGGTTTAGTAGACTGGAATTTCCCAATTCCCCCTATGTAGCCAGAGCCATTAGCTTGTAACTTTAAAAAAGTACTGCCCTAAGGGGTCTTCAGGCTTTGAAGTTTAATTCTAGACTGACCATTCTGCCTGCCTATGCTAGATTACCTAACACCTAACAGCCCCCAGGCACTGAGTACATGTCACTACTGCTGGGTGGCATTGTCAGACTTTTTTTTTCTTCTTATTTTTTTTGGTTTGGTTTAATTTAGGCTTGTGTCATCTCTGCTGGCCTTGAACTCACTCTGTATTTCAGACTGACTTTGGACTCATGACAAACCATCTACCTTAGCCTCCAGAGTGCTGGGATTAGAGGTTTGTGCTACTATGCCAAATTTGTGCTGGACTCTTCATTGTTGTTTTTGAGACAGAGTCTGGCTGTCCCACTAGGCAATGCCTTACCCAGAACTATGTTCCCAGTTCTGGACTTTCATAAATTGGGATTGGGTATGGTAATACAAGCCTGTAATCCCAATGCTTAGGAAGCTCAGGAAAGAGGATTGATTTGTTTTGTTTTGTTTTCTTTTGTTTTTTGAGACAGGGTTTCCCTGTGTAGCTTTGGCTGTCCCAGAACTAGCTCTGTAGACCAACCTGGCCTCAAACTCACAGAGATCCACCCAACTCTGCCTCTAGAGTGCTGGGACTAAAGGCATGTACCACCACTGCCCTGCTGGCAAGAAGATTGAAAGCTTGAGGGCTACAAAATGTTGGAGGGTTTTTTGTTTGTTTGTTTGTTTGTTTTTTGAGCCTTGAACTTCTTGCCTCTATCTCCCAAGCGCTGGAATTACAGAAATTGTCACCACCCCAGCTTTGTGTAAATGTTTTAGTCCATTCTCTAAAAAGTAGAAATTCTAAACCTCATAGACTAGTCACTTTATAAGTCCATACTGGCTGAATCAATCAGGGACAGAGGCATGTAATTCCAGGCTTTGTTCTAACATCAACCACCATAAAAGACTTGCACAGCGTATTGTGGCTCCTACTGAAAGTCGAGGTATACTAGGCAGAGACCTCAGCTCAGAACACACAATTCCCAGGAACACTGTCTGTAAGGCTTTGGGAACTAGACTGTGACTCAAACAGAGACCCCAAACTCAAGAACCTCTGTGCTCTAAATGACCAGAGGCCTCATGTGCTAAATATGCCCAGACCTGGTCTTATTAGAGGCCATTCACTGAGGGAAGGAAGGGATGGTTCTGCCAGTCCTCCCTGCTGCTCTGATGGTAGCACCTTCTTTCACATGCTTTCATATGATCCTCTGAGCTGGGAGTGCAGACCGAACCTTTCCACAACACAAAAAAAGACAATCATCACATCTAATCAAGGAGGGGTTCTGTCACCCAGCTACAGCTCGGAACGTTCAGTTTCCCCACTTTAGGTAAACAAGTTAGAAGTCGTGGTACCTGACTCCTCTCAAGTGACCAGGAGTTAGAACTGAGCCTTGGAGATGCAGTCACAGAACCATCCACAGCAGATTCTCCCAGGGCCCGTCCAAGTTTCTGGGATACTCAAACTCAGGGAACAGCCCCTGAGCACTGAGGGATATGGAAGCACCCTGCCAGGCAGGGAGTCCTTGTTCAGTGTGTCTTGTAGCCAATGACCTCAGCTTTACACCTGCAGGGTGTGTAACATGTTGGCTTGACGAAGGCTAGAAAGCAGCCAGGTGATGTAAGGCCTGCTGCTGACCACATTGCCTTCTCAGCTCCCCAGCTTGCCAAGGAGCTGCCCAGTCTCAGGCCTCCCATGACCACCTAGGAATCTCATCAGTATAGTAGGTTGTGTTTCCCAAATTCATGTCCTAGCTCCAAATACTTTTGAGTGTGACTTTTTTGGAAATAGGGTCATTGTTAGTATAAATGGATAAAGTAAGGTCACACTGGAGAAGGGTGTACCCTAAGTCTTTGTAAGAACATCTATGGATGGTGTCTTTATAAGGAAAAATCTGAGCCAGAGTAATAAAACATGCCTGTAATTCCAGTACTTTTTTGAGGAGGCTGAGAGTTTAAGGCTGGCCACCCTGGAAAACAACCACCTTTCCTGAGGAAAAATAGAAATAAAAAATTAAAGGGGTAGCTCAGTGTGGTGGTGAACACCTGTAAACCCAGCACTTGGGAACTGATGGCAGGATGCTCAGGAGTTTCCCTGATTTGCAGTTTAAAAGGAAGTTCAATGCCAGTGACTCTATCTAAAAAAAGAAAGAATAGAAAAAAGGTGGAGGGGGTAGGACTTGACACAGGAAGAGACAGAAGCCATTAGAGATGAATGTAGAGATTGGGCAAATGTTTTTAGAAGCCAAAGAACAGCAAGGACTGGACTGACTTCCAGAGCCTGGGAAGTCTGGAACAGGAGCTCTCTCAGAACCCCAGGAGTCCACCCTGGCATCAGGCTGCTAACCTCTGGAACCATGAGGGCAAATTCTTGTTTGAGAGTTGAGATCCGGGTCTGAGTTACTTGGTCATAACAACCCTAGCAGACTCAACCATTAGCTTTCAGGAATTCAGGGAAGCTGTAGAGTCGGGCTATCCACACCTCCATAACCAAGTTTCTGGGCTCCTATGGCCCAGCTGTACCTGCATTCCATCTACCAGGTAGTCTCACACCCCCAAGCCAAGCACCACCTGAGACCTTGGCTGAAGCTGTTGCAAAAGCAAGACAGCTGGCAGAGTCTGCAGGAAGCTAACATATGGGGTCCTTCCCTTTCTCCACCTGTACCACTCCCTGACCCTTAGGAACAGACTGGATGCCACCTTCATGAGTCTCTAAGAAACGGTCCAGAACCCAGAGGCAGGGTGTTTGTGTGCGCAGGGTGGGTGCCTTAGGACTGGTTGTGCTGGCCTGAAGGACTGAGATCCTAGCCTGGGCAGCAGCAGTTCCTAACAGTATGATATACTCTGAAGGCAGTTCTGGGAATCTTCTCTAGAAGCTACAAGGGAAGGTAAGAGCAACATGTTGGGAAATGGACAGTGCTGAGGCCTTCTAAATGACAATGGATCAGTGCTCTTCAGATGGGGAGGAGACTCAGTTTCCAGCAGGTAGACAGGTAAGCCATCCTTCAAGCTCAGACCCTCGTGATGCTCTTAAGCCCACATCCACAGCTTTGCTCATGGGCACTCTCCTAGTCCTTCTCCTGTCCTCTATAAGGCACCTTCTAGGTCCAGCTGCGGACACAGAGTAGTAGCCAGGAAGGATCTGACCCCTTTGGCCAGACATAGCGACAGGTGTGCTGAAAGATGAGCCACTAAACATGATCCTGTGCTCCGGGAGGGGGGAGCAGCTCGGTTTCAGCCCCTCGCGTCTCCGAGCATGACTGTGCGGCTTTATATAGCCCCGCAAGCCCTATATAAGCTGGAATTGTGGTTCTGTCAAGCCAGAGAGCCATCACACTGATCTGATCTGGCTGGCATACTTCCCACTCTTACCTACTGAAGTAGGGTCCTCACAGAGATAGCCCACCCCAAGCCCCAGGATGCCCAGCAGAACTGCCCGCTATGCCCGCTACAGCCCCAGACAACGGCGGCGGCGGCTGTTGGCTGATCGCAGTGTGCGTTTCCCTAATGATGTTCTCTTCTTGGACCATATCCGCCAAGGCGACCTGGAGCAGGTGGGGCGCTTTATCCGGGCTCGGAAAGTCTCCCTGGACACTATCCACCCCTCAGGTGAGTAAGCACTGATGGACTGACTGGTCTTCTGTCTTTAAGGAGGTAGGGGAAATCCTGTGCAGAGGGCTACAGCCTTGACCCTGCATTCCCACCCTGCCCAGGCCTGGCTGCCCTGCATGAAGCTGTGCTCTCTGGAAACCTGGACTGTGTGAAGTTGCTGGTCAAATATGGTGCTGACATTCATCAGCGGGATGAGACTGGCTGGACACCTCTGCATATTGCTTGCAGTGATGGGTACCCTGACATAGCCAAGTAAGACTATGGAATACGGTTCAGAGGTTTCATCCCAATCCCTCCAAGCTTCAATTGGTCTCCAGCATATGAACCCCCAAATATAGCTCCGATGGTGTAGGCAGCAACTCTGAGGGATTCTGGCAGTTTCTACTCGATTGCAACATTAGAGCAGGCTGGAAAATCTGGCCACAGGTTCCAAGGGGTCAGGTTTCTTCCTCCTTACTCTGCCTGGAAAAAACAAACAGGTGACCCCAGAATTCTAACCCTCTGTTCCTGGGTGGGCTGAGTAAGCTTTAACCAACAGTCCTTCACACCCCAGGTATCTCATCTCTTTGGGAGCAGACAGAGATGCAGCCAATGATGATGGCGATCTGCCCTCCGACCTTATTGATCCAGACTTCAAGGACTTGGTGGAACTCTTCAAAGGAACCAGCATGGACTGAGCCACCCCTGACCTTTGGGGGTTTGTGCCTCCCTGGAGAAGAGGCAAGCACCTTGCCCCAGGGGCCAGGGTGTGCCCAATGAACATGCCGGTGACGCAGCCAGGCTGTTAGGACTTGTCGTGGGGCATGACTCCTCTGCCCTATACCCATTTCTCTGGCCTGGCTTTTTCTCCAGGTTTTGTTATTTTGTTTGGTTGGTTTTTTTATGATGATACTTTTTACTTTTTCAATAAACATGATTCCCAAGCTGTGATGGAGACTAATTAGCGCGGTCCACTGCAAAACCATCGCCATGCACGCTGAGCTGGGGCTTGGTGGCAGCGCAAGGCCTGGGGTTAGAGCCTCGGGGACCAGAGATGCGGGAACCCCTCCCCAAGCCCGCGTTTCCGGGACGACCTCGCGCGCCTCCGACCTCGCCGTACCCCGTGCGCCCGCGATCACGTGGCCGGCTGCGTTTGCGCCTGCGCGGTGCCGTCACTTCCGGCCGGCCCACTGGAAGCGGCGGCGGCGGCGGCGGCGGCGAGGAGGGCGAGGTGAGGAAGGCGCGGCGCGGGCGGCGCGGCGGGGCGGGGCGCCGCGGGCTCCGCGGGACCTTGGCCGCTCCGCCCCGCCCCGCCCTGGTGTCGCTGGGTCTCCTGGCCGGCGCGGGGAGAGACGAGGCCGGTGTCGCCGCGGGGTGCGGACGTGGCGGCCGCCTGGAGGAGCCTTTCCTGCCCGGCCGCCCGCGGGGAAACGACGCCCGCAGTCCCGGCGCAGCCTCCGAGCTCTTCCCGCTTCTGGGCGGCGCAGGCCTGCCCCCTAACCCGCGCCCGTGTCTTTGCCGGTGCCCTGCCCACATCCCTTTTGTTCCGGTGCAGCGGCTCCAGGGCCTGTCCGCTGTTAGTCCGCAAGGTGGACGGGATGGTGGCCGGAAGTGCCATGCCCCTGTTGACAAAAGCAGTCCTGGACCTAGGGTGGCCGTCTTAGATAAGGTGATCTTCCCTCTGAACGCCACGTTTCAGGCAGGGGACAAGCTCAAGCAAGGGTCCCCAGTGAGTTGGGATGAGCTCGTGGACTTCTGGGTGGGGAGTGTCCAGGGCAGAGAGAGACACACACACACAGGACAGGAGGACAGCAGGAGCCAGGTCCTCCAGAATGAGGGGCCTGGGGTCCAGTTACGGAATATTGTGGTTTGCTAGTCCAGGGAAAGAAGAGGATACACATTACATTCGAGGTCTGATGACTTGCCGTCACCACCCGGAAGCAGGCCCAACCTGTCACAGGAGAGTCTGCTGCTTGGCTGGTTAGTTATTAAGTAAAAGCCTAACAATTTGCAAAGGATACAAGGCATGGAAGGAGGAACCAGAAAATTTGAAGCAGGGAGTGGTGGCAGGTATCTGTAATCCCAGCACTTTGTGAGTTGGAGTCAGGAGTATCAGAAATTTAAGACCAGCCAGGGCTACACGAGACCTCTTTTTCTAAAAGGGGTGTGGAGAGAAGGAAGGAAGGAAAGGAAATTTGGATAGCAGAAACTCCAAAAGATCAAGAGTGACCAGCCTTTACACCTTTGGTTCTGGTGGGGGACCACCCTTGTTGTCACTTTGTTGGGCAGCAAAGTTATGACCACCACCTAGCGTCATGTCCCCACCTTGCCTTCCAGGAAGTCTCTGAAGGCCTTGGGTCCGTAGAAACTGATGGTTCTACATAGAATAAACCCATTCAATAAGAATTCTCCATGGAATAGAGGACTGTGAGCACACCTACATGGGTGTCACTGGGAAGTGGGCATTTCAGAGAGGAGAGGAACCTGATGTAGGATGCAGGCAGGGATGGAGGCAAACGTAGGGATAATTAGCATCTAGCACCCTGCTAGTTAATGCAGCTGTGAGGCCCTGGGTTGGATGGGGGCTGGGAGTCATTCAGATCGCCTCTGTTAGGTGACAGCTGCTTCATCCTCTGAGGTAGGATTGTCAGATGTCTTCTTCCTGGCCAGCATGGTAGGAGCATGAACAGTGTGTAACGTTCCCAGCCCAGGGGCTGCCCTGTGGTCCTCCCTTGGCAAGGGTCTGCTGTGGCCTGTGTGGTTCTCAGTCTCTGGATCTCCACCTTGTTTAAGTATGAGCTGACTCCACATTTTCTGTCTCACACTCAGTGGTCTGTAGCATCCCTTTCTTTATTAGTTTTCACTGGGATAATGTAGTATGGCTCTGTCATGTCCATTATGTTGGCTGAAGAGCTGCAGGTCCTTCGTTTGAGGTACAGGCTTCATGTGGCTATGTGTCAGTCTTTGGAGCAGGAGGACCTGTTAACTGCTCCTGGTGACCAGTTCACTTTCAGTGAGGAAGCCACAGGATTTGGAAGACCTCTGTCCAGGGTACTTCTGAACAGAAGATCAGGGAATAGAAAATGGTTCTAGTTCTGTTAGATTTTTAAAAGCCAGCTGGAGAGAAACTAAAGGAAGAAAGAAAGACTTGGTCTGACCTTAGGGGGGCCATGTTTATTCACGGAGAGGACTTTGTCACCCAGGTGTGCAGATGGCCAAAATACCTACAGAGGAAGATGGGATGTGTAGTCTTTCAGCAGGAAACAAGTTTACAACTGACTGCTAAAGGGGGCTGCGGTGTAGTAGCTGGTGACACGAGAAATTGTGGACCAAGAACTCGATGACAGTGTATAGCTCAAGTGGTTCCCACTGGGGAGTGGTGAAAAGTGTCAGGAGGCTGTACTGCCAGCTGTTTGTGTCTACAGTGGAGCTAGGGGGAGCTGGGGCAGCAGGGATGGGTGTGTAAGTCAGGAGGGCAGGGCCACAGGTAGAAGTATGTTGATAGAGGGAGTCCTTGGCCCAGGGATGTATCAGAAGGTCATCAGATCTGAGATACAATCATTATTAGTTGTGCCTTATTTTATGAGTTCACTAAAAACAGCATGTATACACAATTGTGGAGCCTGGTAGCACAGGCTCATAACCTAGCTACTCAGGAGGCCGATGCAGGAGGATTGCAAGTCTAAGGCCTGCTCAGTCAGCAGTAAGTTCAGAGACAGCCTGGTGACTTAGACTGTATCAGAAGTAAAGAAGGAAGCGGTTACACGTAAGATAGCAGTTTGCCTAGATTTACGGGGAAGTGCTGCTCGGCTTGGGTGTGTGGGATTACTGGGACAACAACTTTCAAAGATACAGAGAAAAAGCATGGTGGAGTAGTGCCAGGCATAGTAGTAGTTCATGCCTGTAATCCCAGCACTTGGGGGTGAAGACAGAGAGCCAGGAGTTCATGGCTAGCCCTGACTACACAGTGATTTTGAGGCCAGCTTGGGCTTCCTATCTTTAAACACAAACAGCAGAAAGACCCCAAAAAGTATTGTGGAATTGATGGAATGATTTACCTGTGGCTCGAGTATTGAGAAAACACTTGTAACACAGAGAGAGAAGAAAAACAGGGCAAGGAAGTGCTGGGTTTGGAGCTTGAGGTGGCCTTGCCTGACCTCTGCCCCTGCTATCATCCTGGTGGGAGCCCCAGGGGATAGAGCCCTGGGTACTTCAAGAATTCTTTTGAAGTAGGGCTCTTTCCCTGGCTGCTCACTCGAAATGGTACCCCCTTCTGTGGATGGCCTTTGTTAGACCACCACCCCCTTTACCTGGGCTGCTGAGCAATAGTCTGTGATCTCAGAGGTTTTCAGACATCCTTGGCACTTTTGCAGACTACCATTCTTCTTAGCCCATTGTACCGCTTTGGTCCTGGACCCCAACACGTTAAACCTTTTAGAGACCCTGCTTATTTGGTATCATAGTACTTTATTCCTTGCCAGTAAACATGCTCCAGTTTCTCTGCTTCAACAAACATAAAGCCTGCTGCCAGCTAGGCTGGTGCCAGCAGGGGCACCCAGGCAGAGGGCATTGGAGAATGTGACCACCAGAGCCTGAGGCTGCATGGGTAGAGGCGGCAGAAAATAGTGGCCTAGGGGACAGGTACTGACAAGTAGCAGTGAATCCTGGACAGAAAAGGGTGTCAAGGGCAAAAGCAGCGTGGACCCTGGAAGCTAAGGTAGGGATTGGCCCCTGAGCCCTGCCTTTCTCCTTCCTGGCCTGTAACTGGAGCTTCCCCATCTCGTCTCACTGCCATCATCACACCTCAGAGGCTTGTCTGTGCTTTGATGTCCTTTACTGGCAGCTTTGGGAAAGACAGAGAGTGGGGGCTGGGAGCCAGGTTTGAGGAGAGGCACAGGGTTCTAGAGCTCTTATGGAATTGATACCATTGAGGCGTCTGAATAGTTAATGATCACTAACCATAGAAGAGCCTGGTGTGACAAGCTTGGGACTGTCTGGATCTCATTTGTCTTCAGCATCTGGGGTTGTCCCATCTGGACCAAGGCCAGACTTAGAACTAACCCTGTGTGACTGGTTTCCTTGTCTTGGGTTGTGTGTCCTCAGCTGGTTAATTATGAGATTCTGACCCTAAACATAGATACCCCGCCCACTTGTCAGCAAAGATCCTCTGGCCTATAAACAGGTTGCACCCCAGGGTTCTGGTCACTAGGTTGGGTCAGGTCTGGCTGCTCCCACCAGAGATGTCTTCCTCCTGGTCTACTTTATTTTTGATGCTCTAGTGTTCCTGGGATCCTTTGTCAAATGTCACTGAGCTTCAGGATAGCTAGTTTTCTCAACATGCAGTTCCCATGGACAGTTAGGAGGTTGAGTTTAGGCTTTGCAGAAGCATGAATGAGTCCTAGTAGCCCTCTGGGGTGGAGCTAGGGTCTGTTGTGCTCTACTGTGCAGGATCTGCAGACTGAAGACAGGAATGGGTTGGGAGATGAGGCTGAACACATGGTCCCAGTGGCTACGTTAAGCAGTGTTTACCTGCGTGTGTCCTTTGTGTCTCTGACACCGACACCTCCATAGCAGTTCAGGATTGCTTGGAGCCCACTAGCCACTCAAGTCTTGGGCCTAGCCTAAGGGTCCCCAGTGGACTCAGGGGCACATAGTTTGTTCCTTTTTCTGCTGGAAAGGCGACATCTGCAGTGCCTTG